TATATATATATATATATATATATATATATATATAATATTAAAATGTGAATTATTCGTGTGTTGTTTAGACGAGCAGTACGTCAGAACCAGCAACATCCAAACAAGAATTAAGCAATTGCAAAGAATTTTTGGAAGGACGTGTACAAGTTCAATGGGAATTGATGGGTGAGGACGTGCAGATTCAAGTTTCAGGTCGTATCAACGAGGACCAATACGTGGCATTTGGTTTATCGGGACGTCACGATAAATCCCACATGATTGGTGGCGACGTAGTTGTCGTGGCTTACGACAAGAAAAAAGGCAAATATATTGCCGAGGACTATTACATGTCTGATTATTCACAATGCGATGGGAAAAAGGGTGTTTGTCCTGACGAAAGGGTCGGTGGCAAAAACGATGCTGTATTATTACACGGTGATAGAAGGAACGGTGTCACCACAGGTATTTTGTAACAATTTTTATATCAAATAATAATATTAATAGATAAATAAGTAATTAAATTTCAATTATTGTAAATAAAAAAATAAAGCGCATTATTAATACAACAAGGACAATAATTCAAATTGTAGAGCAAAAGAAGACATATGCTATGTTATTATTATAAATTATAAATATAATATTATTATTATTAATATTATTATTCATAACATTTATAAAAAAAAAAAAAGATAATGTAAGCAGAAAGAATTGACCAATTGAAAACAAAAATATTACAGTAACGTATATGAGACCTTTACGCACGAACGAACCCGTAAAAGACAGGATGATCCCTGAATCCGAAACTAATGTGATCGCTGCTATTGGTCCTCTCAATTCAAGAGGAGAAGCCAACGCTCATGAGGCTTTCGACAAGACTACAGGGGATATACGTATCGACTTTACGTCGAAAAATGTCCACGAGTGTACTAATTCCCTGTACAACATCCCAGACATGCCTGACATTGAACCCTGGCCACAAGCCGTGATCAACGATGTAGATACCTTCACTGCTAGGATTGGACCAACTGGTGGACTTAGAGGATATTACCGTATAACGGGTAAACCAACAAACTATAGTATCTCATATTACTCTGTTAAAAGAAACCAATCCTCAAGGGATCCTAATATTTTCTTCTCTTTAAAGAAAGATAAAAGTATCTCCCTCAAAAGCTTTTTCTTTCAAGTATAATAATACTGTAATATAATATCATTGATGGAAGACAACAAAATATTATTATTATTATTATTATTATTAGAAATATTTAACAAGACAATTTTCTTTCATATTTACAATGTTGTTTTATTTTTATTTAAGTGTTGGATTATTATTATTATTTATATATATTATTATATATTATTATTTTTATTTATATAAATATTATAGTATTATATAATATAGTAATAGTATACAATACTATATTATTAATTTTACTATATATTATATAATTATACTATATATACTATATTTTACTATACTTATATAAATACTATAATTTTATATTAATATTATAGTATTATATAATATAGTAATAATATATAATAATAGTTTATATATATAGTAATATAATTATAATAGTAATATAGTATTATATAATATTAAATAATAGTAATAATATATTATTATTTATATACAGTATTATATAAATAATAATATATTACAGTATTATATAAAAACACTCTATAAATTAGAAATAAAATAAATTGTAAATAACTAACGCATTTTAATCAAAAAAAAAAGAAAAAAAAGATTCAGGGGTAGTTCAAAATATAATTTCAATTGCAAACACATATATATATAAGTATATTCTATATAATTAAATCTAATAAATAAATTGTTCAAACAGGTGAAGTTTCATGGGGTATCGCATGGTATATAAATGATCTATTAATACCAGAGATCACTGTGGAAAGAGGACAAACGTATAAATTTATCGTAGAAGGTGGAAACGATCCTACTAATCCGGCCAAGTAATAAAAATAAAAAATAAAACACAACACACAAGATACAACAACAAGTTATTAATTAATGAGAAAATATAATTTTGATATTTGAATTGTTTTTTATTTTTTTGTTTGTTAAATAGATATCATCCGTTTTACATAACGGATAGTCCTGAAGGTGGTTTTGGACAAAAAACTGAAGCGCAACAAAGACAACAAAGAGTGTTTGCAGGTGTAGAATATGGCAATGATGGTTTTCCTTATCCAACTGCTGTTGGTCGTTATTGCGAATGGGTTCATAAAACGATTGACAAAAGTAAAGAATCAGAAACGTTCCAAATATTTTTCAAAACATTGAGACTGGAGTGTGTTCCTGGTGATCCTGCCGATCTCATATGGACCGTTCCTGAAGATGCACCTGATTTATTATACTATCAGGTACTATTTTTTAAATTATATTCTATATATATATATAGTTTAATAATACTATACTATATTTAATAATACTTTAATATATTATAGTATTATAGTATTATAGTATTAATATTATATATTATAGTATATTAATATTAAATATAAA